GATTACAATCGCTATTTCTTCGTTGGATGATCGAAAACCCTTCCAGTAAATCGACTTGTAGTCGAATCCACACAAAATAACGAATAAGCGACAATTATTTCTACCATTTCGGCAGTATTTTGCCAAATTACCTGCAAATTTCGTTCAATTTTCTCAGGTTCACACCAACTAAAGCGCAAGGTTGTAAATCCTTCCGAAACAGAGCAAATATAGAGCGTCAGGAACCAACAAATTTAGACAATTGTTCCCACTAAACCCACAATAACTGCGCTTTTGATAGAAAGTCTAGAAAAATTATCCAGGTTTTCAAATGCGACTTTATGCAGCGCAGTAGAAATTACAACTAGTAGAGGACAAATGGAATGTGAAGAGTCCAGGAAGAAAACATGTGCAAGCTGTTTTTTTTAATGTTCGCTCCCTTTTCCACAGTGTTTTCTAAAGATTGTGTAAAATTCAAGAAGGTTTTTGCCTTGAAAAGCTCCAGCTTTCAGAGTAGAGCATCTTTTTGGAGACCCACTCAATAATCTAAGCGATTTTTTTGACATTTTCAGTATCTTTTGCGACCAGCGTCTTCTAAAGATGTTGCAAATTTCCAGAAACTATTTTTTTTTGAAACATTTGCTAAGAAAAAAAATTATTTTTTACCACATTTGCTAAGCTCGAAATGCGCAATAATCTGAGCGATTTTTGTCCGTTTCCGACACACAAACCACAAATACTAAAGCTACAGCTTGGTCCCGCCTGAAATCCTTACCGAGCGTCTCGAAGGTAAAGCGCGAGTCCCCAGGCCACTGGTACCACTCGGGGTACTGATCGTAGAGCAGTCTGAGCCGGAACTTGTACTGAGTCTTCGGCTTCAGGTTGTGGACGACGATTTGCACCTGATCGTGCAGATGGTGGCCGAAAGCCGCCTGCGCCCACACATTGCTGGAGGTAATCGGCGCGTACTCCACCACATACTCCTGGATGTGGGGCGTGATCTCCCAGGTCAAATCCAAGGCGTGCGCCGTCTGGTTGACCAGGTCGAAAACAGCTGGTTCTGGAAACGTGGTGATCTGCACTCGATCACTGTCGGACGAGGTTTCATTTGTTTCGCTGTAGGCGCGGATCCAGACCGTGTACGTTTCGTTGGGGCTCAGCTTTTGGACTAGCGTGGTCAACGTGGCGCGCTCATTGGCTGATGTTCGCAGATCGTTGACTGGTTGTTCGCCCTTTTGGCGCACGCCACTCACTGAGCCCTCAGTCAACCAGTGAATCTCGTAGTGAATCAACTCTCCGTTCAGTTCGGCTGGGGGCGACCAGCTCACCTCGGCCAAAGTGGGATGCAGCACACTTGCCGATATGTTTCGGGGCTTCGAAGGCGCTGAAAATAATTTATTATACCTTATCAGTTTGGAAATTCGACCCGGCATTACTCGCGTTTACCTCCGGGCGCAGTCCTGACCAACACTGGCTCCCCAAACACCATCTCCTCCCTTCGGGTGTAGTGATTGGCCACCGCGATGCTGATCGCGTATTGGGTGAACGGCCTGAGGGGCCCCACTAGCAGGCTGCTGTTGAAAGTGCTCATAAACCGCACATCCTCATTTCCCTCCCAACCCTTGGAGTAGCGCACTGTGTAGACGGCAGTGGGCCGCGAAATTTCAGGACATCCCACTCCGAACTGCAGTTGGGGCATTTGAAGCCGCACAAAGTCGTAGGACTTGGTTTCAATGGCGGGTTGCACGCTCTTCACCTGCCCAGGACTGAGGCAGGCTTTCAGCGGATAGCGCTGCATCTGCTGACCGAAAACCAACAGATCGCTCCCAGTAACTCCCAAGCGCCTGGGGCGGCTGGATGCGTCCCTGGCCATCGAGTAGAACTGGCCCTTGAGGTCCCTCCAATAAAGAAACGCCAAATCCACTGCCACCTTGCCCAAGGGGTCGAAATATTCAAGCCCTACCGCCCCCAAGGGGGTGCCCTCGCTGTCAAACAGCAAAGCCTCTCGCGTGGATGCAGCTACAACTATCAGAACCTCCCCCGTTGCGGCATGGTCAATGGCCAGCGTCGGCTCCAGCTCTGGTAAGTCGGTAAGTAGCTCCTTCACATCCCCACCGGAGAGGCCGCTGCTCTTCACCGTCTGCCTGCCATTCAGCTCAGTCTCCAGCCAAAACAGCTTCTGGATAGCGGGCGCGACTTCCAGCTGGCACACATGGGCCGCACTGACATAAATTCGATCCACTTTCAACTCCTCCAGGCTCAGCCGATGCACCACTGAGCCCATGGTGTCGTTGGTCCCTTCCACCAGGTAGAGATTGCGTCCCAACCAATCCAAACTGAGGCCTTTGGGCTGCTCCTTCAGCTCCAGCAGTTTCGACTTGTTGCCGGTGTCCCATTGGAGGGTGAGCAGTTCGCGCATCTCGTTAAGCCAGTAGAGGGTGCGCTCACGCAGCGAATAGGCAGCGGCCAGCGGCCGACTCACTCCGCTCACGCGCATGCGGGTGCGATTGACGTCCAAATCGGCTTGGAACAGTGAGTCCTGATCGGTCACTAGCAGAACGGGTAGCGGCGCTTCTACGCTGGCATTCACCGCCAGCGGCTCGGAGATTGCCCCAGACCCTTGGCTTGTGTAGGCTTGCACCTGGAATTTGACAATAACAAACTGGTTAATGCAAAGGAGAACAAAAAGTTTCACTTCAAAGACACCACTTCACCTTTCAGGCAAATGAGAGATTGTGAATTCTGGCACGCACCTGGAAGTAGTAGATGATTTTGTCTGTGAGCCGGTCGAGGATGTGCTCGGTTTCATTGGATGACTTCCGGATGTCCAGCGCCACCTCGCTGCCATTGTCTTTGTACCAATACCTAACACATCCCAATGGTCAAAACCCCTACTTACCAAGGCATAGATGATCTCACCTGACGTTGAAACCGTCCAGTATCCCGTTGGGGAACAGGGGCGGATCCCAGCGGAAAACGATGGAAAACCAGTCGATGTCCTCCAGGGCCCTGTTGTGCTCGTATTCCACAAAGCCTCTGAGATTGATCGGCACCGAGGGAGTGGACGGCGGCGAATAGATCACTGCTCGAACTTGAGGCGATGTCGACCAGTAGGTGAAAGCCCTGATGGTCACATTCAGGGGAGTGAAGGGTGCGATTTCCAGCCAGTATTTGAAGCTCGGCTCAATGGTAATAATCTGCAATCAGGAGGCATGTGAGCAAACAGTGTTGGCTTGGCGGTGGGAAATTTACGGTGTAGTTGTTGGCGGGCAGCCCATCCAGCTGCACCTCGTAAAAAACAGTGCCATAGTTGACATTTTCCACCGGCGCCCAGGTGATGTTGAACGCCTCCGAACCCCCCACAGTGTGCACCAAGTCGGGGCGTACGGCGCCCGGCACTACATTCACTTCGTCCTCAGTCACATTATCTGCAACCAGAACCGGTTAACCCCAGCAAAGCCGTTAGGCTTTGCCCACCTACCAGGCCATTTCTGCAGACTGGCATCGACCACACTGACCAGATTCAGGCCGGAGAGCAGCTTCCCGCCCACTGTAGCCATGTTCTTGCCCTCCAGGTCGCTGATGATGGCGTTGCGTTCGTCCTGCAGCCACATCAGCCGCCTGCTGAAGTAGGAAAGTGGGCCGGGCATCACGGCGCTCTGCAGCAGGGCCACTCGCGACTTTTGCACACTGTCCAAGCCGCCCTCGCCCATCAGGGCCGCCCTGAACAGGTGCGAACCATCCGACCCACGCACAATCCAGTAGACTTGTTGGCCGTCAAAGTCCAATGTTAAGCCCATAACTGCAAAATGGCACCAAAAGGTGCAAAGGTTCACTGGGTGTTAGGCCTGGGTAACTCAATGAATTTTTAGGAGTTGGCGCAGTGCCATGCAAATGGCTTGGTGCGCCATCCCAACGCACCGGCACAGTAACTCAGATCCGTTGAATGTGAAATTCTGTAATTCAAGACCTTTTAAAAATGTTATTAATAAATGGCTTTCAAAATAAAGCTTAAAAAAGTTAGAAAAGTCGTCAAAATTTTCCCAGCAACGGAACTGAGTTACGTTGCTGCCGCGTTGGGTTGCTGCTCCAAGCCATTTGCGCCGCTCTGCGCCAACTCCTAAAAATACACTGAGTTACGCAGGCCTGAAACACAGTGTTACCCAGGCCTACTGGGTGTAGTCATGGGCGAGACTAAACTTGCTCATCACGGGACATATGAATTGTTACCTTGCCGCCCGGAGAATGGCTCCAAATGGTCGTAAATGGCGCGGTCGTCACCATTCAATCGGGCGCACTCCACGTCGTACTCGCGCGACCAATACAGATAGCCATTGACCGAATCGATGCGGATCTCTTTGGCCAGGGTGAGGATGGGCAGCGGCTCCTGCTGCGCGCCTTGGAGGTTGCTGCGGATGATCTGCAAGCAGATGAGGGTGGCGTGGACTCAACTCCGATTGGAAATCATCCGAAGGACCAGAACCTACCAGTTGCTGCTTCAAGTTGGACCAGTAGAGCTTGCGCCCAATCCAGTCCACAGCGATGCTGTCCACTGAGCCAACATCTCCCAGTTTGCCCTGCTGGCGCGACGTCAAGTTGAACCAGTACACGTTGCTGCCATTGGTCACCTGAGGACAAAAGCCGCCGTGTCTGAAATCGAACCAAAAATTGGCACTTGATGACAATAAATACTCACTAGGAAAATCTGGTCACGGTACCAAGTGACCGCGTTGAAGCCAATGTTGCGCATCCTGTCCTTGTGCACCAGTGTCTCGACGTTGTCCAGCGTCATGTCCGACTTGAACAGGCCTTCGCTGCCCGCCCAGATAATCTGCGGATCGCGAAAACTCTCCAGAGTTCTGCCCTGGAACTCCGTGGACAGTGGCCCCGCCCCCGACTTGGAAAACGCCAGCACCTTGATAGTGTAAGGAGTGTCCGCTGTTAGATTGGTCACGGCGCACGAACGGTACTCGGTGGTGTAGTTGGTGATGGCCTGCGACCTCATGTTCTGGACGAAGACTTTGTAGGACCAGTTTTGCCACGCGGCCTTGCCTGAAACACACAGCAGACAGATATTTTATAGTCATCATCCCCCAGACACCATCAATCAATAGAGATCAGATTATGTGGGGGCTTGCCTCGGATGCCGAAGAGATGGGGCGGCAACCACTTGACTCTGGCGCCAGTCCTGCCGAAAACTGCCTGGACATGGATGGGCGGATTCAGAGGTAGGGGCAGCGGCTGCCTGATGTGCATATTGACGAGGATCTTCTTGTACTGCGTCTTGCCCAGATGCGAGATCTTGTTCTGGAAGAACTTCTTCAGCACACCATGGTATTCCTCGTTGTAGACGGTAGTGCCGTCCGTCCAGTAGAACAAACGGTAGGCCGTGCCCAGGGACAGCACATGGGACATCATGGGCTGCGCCACATTGGCGCGAATGTTCGACACCGCTTTGCTGCAAACCAGCAACAGATTAAACAAACGCGGGCCCAACTGGGTGGCTTCGGTACCCGTCCAGCGCCACCTCCAGCATGGTGTTCAGGCTCTGATCGGCCACCGACAAGGTGAAGTTCAGGTAGTTGACCACAAAGGCTCCCAAGTTGGGGCGCGCAAAGATCCGCCGCTCCTTCATCTCGTGCTTGACGCCGTTGCTGATGTCCGCAATGTCCAGCCGGTAGATGCCGCCCAGGACCGTGTCCTGGACACTCCAGAACAAGTAGCCGTTGCAAGGGTCCACCTCTAAACTGACTGGGCGTTTTTGAAGGCCCGCAAACACCACCGTCTGCCCGCTGCCGTCCAGATTGCATCTGAAAATGGCGTAAAATCACTCTTTTCCCGCTTGGGGGGGCTGATTGGGCACCTTTTGATCAAAAACTTCCTGGATGTGCTTCTGGGCTTGGCCTGCCCCACAATGTAGAGTTGGTTGTTGATCCAGTCGACCGAGATGTCCAGTGGGAAAAAGTCCAGCTGATCGGGAGAGAGGATTTCGGTCTTATTCTTCGTCTCCTGCTCGATGGGCAGCCTCCACACGGACCCCCGGACATCGGAGACGAACAGCAACTGTTTCTCGATGTGAATTCCGATCCCTACAGCACACACACATAGTGATTAGAGGGATTATAGAACATAGGTTGGGCAAGGAAAGCAAGACCTAATCTGGCCAAAGCAGTTACCTTCGATAGCAGTTTCATCTGAGTGGAACAAGTGGACGCTGTCGGCAAAGAGCGACTTCAACTCGAAGATCCCGTGCTGAGTGCCCAGAATCAGTACAAGTTGCTCGTTCTCTGCCGCTGGAGGAGAGAGTCATAGATCATGAAGACATTGGTAGAGCGCCACTCACCTGGCTGCTCTTTGGGAGTGAGAACCTCCACAGAGGCGGACGGCCCCACGCCGACGCTGTTGCGCATCTGGGCGGTCACCGTGTAGTTCACATTGGGCCTCAGATTGCTGTAGAGGTAGAAATTGTGCGTCGAGTCCACGTCCTGTGGAAAAACCATTAATAATCGCGGTCGCAAGCAGCGGCAAAGACGGAAGGAAGCATAGAAGAGAGCTGGTTAGTACTACGCAGAAGGATTAGCAACATAGAGGGCAGGCGGGAGAGGAGCCAGCGCCACTACCTATCTCAACTACTATACAAAGGCAAGAGCGAGAGCGAAAGAGCGAGTGGGGGCGGCCCACCTTGACTTCGGAGCGGGCCTCGCGCCCACTAGTGGACGAGCGGCTTTCGATGATCTGGAGCACATAGGAGAGGAGAGGGCCGTGCGGAAAGGGACCGGGTTCCCAAGTGACGCTGACCGAGTGGGCGTCGACGGCGGCCGCCTGCAGATGGCGGGGCGGCGACGCTGGCACGCCCTCGGCCAACGTGGCAATCACAAGGCTCTGCTCGGAGAAGATCGGCTCCCCATGGCCGTGGCCCAGGTTCAAAGCCACGCGAAACTGAAAATTCCGTTTAAAACTTCGATTGGCCGAGCTGGCGGTTCTGGGGAGGTCTTACTCGGTACTTGGTGTAGGGCTGCAGCCCCTCCACTAGGAAGTGATTCGTTTCGGGGTTCCAGGTGACATTGCCCGCGTATTGCCACGCGGCTGCTGATTCCTCGTAGCGCCACTGGACGTGGCAGCTCAGTCCGGTCCTGCTCGCCTCGCTCAACCTGCAACATTGATCGGCCGTTCAAGAATGTATTGAATCAAAGTCGTAGTAAAATTGAAATTGAAATTGAATAAAGGCGTAAGTCCGAAAAGTCACTTTCTTCTGAATGTCTCAAACATAAAAATAAACTTGTTTTTCGAAAACGCGGTGTAGACTTTTTTCTAATTTAATCGACTTTGTATTGGGGAGTTCAAAACTCCAGACGCCCCCTGGTATTTAAAATTATCACTACAAGTTAAGCAGTAATTTGACACTTGTTTTGTTGACATCGGTGTCACATTGGTGTGTGCATCTGATTGTAGTTTGTTTTATTTTGTTGTAATCAACTTTTGCAAGCTTTTAAAGAAATAGAAACCGATCGAAAAGTGTGTACGTATTGTTTTATGTTATAAATGTCATCAACTCCAATAAACAAACAAGTCTGACAAGTATCAACTGTCGCTTCTGTCGCAACTGTCTCTCTCGCAGCGCCACCATTGGTAGTTACGGTTTCGGAGATCTCCAGTAGACTTTTAGTATCAAATTTCATACATTTTCCTGAGAACAGTTGGAAAGAAGCAGGAAGGCACTCAAAGAATTGTCGGTGGCGCTTACCTCCACTCCAGACGCAGCGACGTGGCACCCAATGAATTGTCCAGAAGGGCGGGGGCAGCTAGAACGCCCAAAAGAGCCCGAATTTGGCTCAGGTAGCGTCCGGTGCCGTCATTGCAGCCAATCACACAGTGCAGCTCCCGATGGCTCAGCCGGTCTGAGGTTCTATTCTGAAAAACCGCCGGCCCAAATTTATACTGACGAGCTCTAATGACAGGTTCTGTCACTTACACAGGCCTTTTGACAGGACGTTGACAGCGCCTCCTTCCACAAGGAACAGCCCTTGGAACACTGGAAAAAATCAAGATTAAGACAAACTTAAGATGGTGAAATCTGAATTTGAACATGGGCACATAAAAGGTAAATGCCTGTTGCTTCTCAAACATCAAAAACTCAGGTGGACACGTAAATCGTTAGGATTACCGATAAGTTCAACGGATCAATGATCTGTGATAGGCCTGGGTAACACTGTGTTGAGTTGCGCTTTTGAGTTGTTGTCGCTCTCTGAGTTAATGAGTTTTAACTCATTGGTTAATGAGTTGTAACTCATGGCCGGTGGCGGAATTTTAGCATCTAACAAAAACGCCAACAACATATTGCTGTTGCACATACGATTGCTTGAAATTTGGTCCAAAACGGGAAAATCCGGAGATTTTGAAGAAACTTAAAAACATTTCAGAGCGATGCGGATGACGCGATTTCCAAATATTATTTATATGCTTTCGCTTTCTCTGGTCGTTTTTTGAGAAAACCTAAATGTTGTCGAAAAAAAATCAAGATAACTTTGTTTCGATTTTGTCCCAAATTCAAGGGTAAAATGGGTATTTGAAAAAGACGATAAAGAAGACCAAACTGTAAAGACGACGACTTTTCTTGCAAAATCCATCTTTTAACTTTTTGCATAAAAGACTCTCAGTTCGCCAGTATTTTACGGTGAAACGTTAGAAAGAAATGCGTTGTTCTGTCTAGAGAGAGTCTTCGATAGAAATAATGAGCTGAAAGTGAAGAAACCGGAATTTAAATAAACCAAATCATTCACAGAGACAAAAGTGACGAGTTTTCCAAATAATTTATTATAAACTTTCACTTGTTCTGTTTGGGGACATATTTTGCGAAAAAATCCAGGAAAAATTATTAGGGTTTTGTCCAAAATTCAAAGCTGTAAAAGATTCCAGAAAAAAATTTACAAATCTGTTCAGGAGCCGAGTGTTAAGTAAATTTATTTTATAATTTTCACAGAAATTACCTGAAGAGTGTCAGTATATTAAGTAAAACTGAAAATAATACGTTTTTTGCATAGAAAGAATTGCGTAATAGAAACTTTCCTAAAACTGGAATGACCTGAAATTTTAAAGAAACTTGAAAAATCTTCAGAGCGATGAGGGTGAGGAATTTTCCCAATTAATTTTTTTGGAAACTTTTGCTCTCTGGGCGTTTTTTCAAGATAATCTTAATTACTTTCGGTAAAAAAATTTGTGATCGGTTTTTGAGGAAATGTTAATGATTTTCGGGGAAAAACGGGATAAATTTATTTTCGTTTTTGTCCCGAATTCGACGCTGAAAAAAGTTTTTGTAATTTGCCTACAAATCTATAGATTTATCTTGTAATTTTTCGCGTAAAACGCCTCCAGATCGTCAGTATTTTTAAGTGAAACTCTACATAATAGAAAAAAAAATAAAAAAGTAGAGCGTTTTTGATTTGAAAGAAAGCAAAAAAATTAGTCAAAATTAAAAAACCACATTTTTTTTTCCAAGCTCTACAGTCTTCAGAGGAATAGAGGTGACGAATCTTCCAAATAATTTATTATAAACTTTTGCTTATTCAGTTTGTTTTTTGATAGAAAATTATTTGATTTTTGTCCCAAATTCGAAGCTGGAAAGGGATTTCGAAACTTTTTGCAATGGGACGAAGGAGGCGAGTATTCTAATAACATTTATTTCATAAATTTGCGCGGAAAATACCTGAAAATTGGCAGTATTTTTAAGGGAAACTAGAAAATAATGCGTTTTTTTGCGTAGAGAGAATTGCCTGAAAAAACTTTACTAAAACTGGAATGATCTGAAATTTTATAGAAACTTAAAAAATCTTCAGAGCGATGAGGCCGGCGAATTTTCCTAATTATATTTTGTAAACTTTTGCTCTCTGGTCGTTTTTTCAAGATGATCTTAATGACTTAATATTAATAATTAACTGAAAAACTGAATAAAATTATTTGGTTTTTGTACCAAATCCGAAGCTGAAAAGGGTTTTCTAAAGTTCCCTGCAACCTGATGAATGAGGTGAAGTTTCTAGCAAAATGCATTTTGCCATTTTTGGCTGCAAATACCCCATTAATGTCAGAAAAAATATATTTTTTGCGCTTTTGCTTTAAAACTTTTAGTTTTGTGATCGGTTTTTGCGAAAACCTCAATAGTTTTCGGGGAAAAAAGGGAGAAATTTAATCCCAAATTCGACTCCAAAAAAGTTTTGTAAAATTCCCACAAAGCTATAAATATATTTTGTAATTTTTCGCGTAAAATGCGTCCAGATCGTCAATATTTTTAACTAAAATTCTACAAAATAGAGGGTTTTTTGAGTAGAATGAAAAGCTAAAAAAATCAGTCAAAACTAAAAAAAACTTCTTCCTTCTTCAGCTTTCAGAGGAATGGAAGTGACGAGTTTTCCAAATAATTTTGAAAAGGGATTTCAAAACTTTTTACAGTGACGAAGGAGGCACCGGGATTTCACGGTAAACCGATCAACGAGGCAAATTTTTTAGCAAAATAAATTTTCTCATTTTTGGCTGAAAAGGCTCCATTATTGTTAGAAAAGAAGAAAATAATCAGAAAATTATATTTTTTGCGCTTTTGATTTAAAACTTTTAGTTTTGTGATCGGTTTTTGCGAAAACCTTAACGTAAAACTCTACAAAATACAGCGTTTTTGAGTAGAAAGCAAAGCAAGCGACAAGTTTTCCAAATAATTTATTATAAACTTTCGCTCATTCAGTTTGTTTTTTGCTTTTTGTCCCAAATTCGAAGCTGAAAAGGGATTTCGAAACTTTTTGCAAGCGAAGAAGGGCGCGATTTCTAATAAAATGTATTTCATAATTTTTCGCGAAAAATACCTTAAGATTGTCAGTATTTTTAGTTGTAGTTAAAAAAAGAGTAACTTGGCTGAAACTGGAAAATTCTGAAATTTTGGAGGAATGTTAAAAATTTTAATTATACATAGCCCTTAAAATCAATCTAAAAACAAGTAAAAAAGTAATCAACATTATCCCAGCAACTGAAAAAATCTATGAATATATCTTGTAAATTTTCGCGTAAAATACATCCAGATCGTCAGTATTTTTAAGTGAAACTCTACAACATAGAGCATTTTTAAGTAGAAACCAAAGTTAAAAAACCACATTAAAGAAAAAAATCTACAGTCTTCAGAGGAATGGAGGTGACGAGATTTCCAAATAATCTGTTACAAACCTTCTCTTATTCTGTTCGTTTTTTGATAGAAAATTATTTGATTTTTGTGCCAAATTCGAAGGTGGAGAGTGATTTCAAAACTTTTTACAGTGACGGAGGCACCTTGATTTCACGGCAAACCGATCAACGAGGCGAACTTTTTATGAAAATAAATTTTCTCATTTTTGACTGAAAAGACCCCATTATTGTCAGAAAAGAAGAAAATAATCAGAAAATTATATTTTTTGCGCTTTTGATTTAAAACTTTCAGTTTTGTGATCGGTTTTTGCGAAAACCTTAACGTAAAACTCTACAAAATACAGCGTTTTTGAGTAGAAAGCAAAGCAAGCGACAAGTTTTCCAAATAATTTATTATAAACTTTTGCTCATTCAGTTTGTTTTTTGCTTTTTGTCCCAAATTCGAAGCTGAAAAGGGATTTGCAAACTTTTTGCAAGCGACGAAGGAGGCGCGATTTCTAATAAAATGTATTTCATAATTTTTCGCGAATAATACCTTAATATCAATATTTTTAAGTGTAGTAAAAGAAAGAGCAACTTGGCTGAAACTGGAAAATTCTAAAATTTTGAAGAAATTTTAAGAATATTATTAATAAATGGCCCTTAAAATATCAAAAAACAAGTAAAAAATTAATCAGCATTATCCCAGCAAGGGAACTGAGTTCTTGCGCCGGTGCGTTGGGTTGGCGCACCAAGCGATTTACGTGGCACTGCGCCAACACCTAAAAATTCATTGAGTTACCCAGGCCTAATCTGTGGATTTGAAAAGAACCGTTTTCAAATGTGGAAATGTGTGAAACATGGGACACCCTGTACAGGAAGTTCCGTTTCTGTCTATAAGCGTGTGACTTTTCTGTGGACCAAATGGGCGGATGCCTCAATTAGGCGGCGTTTCGGACGCGTTTCAATTCATTGTTGCCCTTTTTCCCAGCCGGGGCCCCCCCGATCGGGGCGCTACTGAGCCGCGATTATTCCGAGCACGGCTAATGAGGAAGTGGTGAATTGAGCAGTGGACGCTCTAATTGGTGTCCGCTTTAATAGCGCAGCGCTGGCTTCGATCGTAATGAGCGCGTCTCGTTTTTTTCTCTCGTGTTTTTACAGCCGAAAACTGGCTTATCAGCTCGGTTCGCAACCTTATAAACCCCAACCAGACAAAGTCGAGATTAGTTTTGATTTAATTCGTATGTTTGTTTCAATTTACACCATAAACAGTCACTGAAACACTGATAAACCTAATCGAACATTTGTAATAAAACTGACTAGAGAAGCAAAGGAAAAATGAATAATTCGACGATTTATTCCTTAATGTGAAGTTTGAGAAGATCGAAAACGGGTATGAGCGAATCTTGTGGAAAAGTTTTTGGAAAAAGACTGAAAGCCAAAGTGTTGGTTGCGATGTTGTGCCGAGCCCTTCGGGCACGGCGCTGGTTTGAACGTAGAAAACACCGGTTTACCCTTAATTTGCTCTTTATTGTTCCCAACCAGCTATTATTGAATTAATTTTATGCCTCATTTACAACCAAGTCTTGGTCTTGGCTCCCAATCGCTCCCAGTCGATTAGTAATGATTGCATTATCAACCAGGGCATCATTATCATCGGGCAGCCAAAACATCAAAATTCACTTTTTCCTAATTAATTAGGCAGATTTGCGCTTAATTACGCGATCTTTTTCGGCGCCAACATTCAATCCTCGCAACTCACAACAACAGATTGTGCGCCTACTGGACGCGGAAAATCCGGTGTTTTTTTGTTTCTTATGGGGCGGAAGCGGATCTCTGGTTTGGTGGGCCGGATCTTTCAAGCCCTACGACCGCCCCAAGGTTCAGATGACCTGAATTCAACACTGCGCTGGGACTGCAGAAGCGAACAAATAAATAAAACAGTTGAATAGTTGAAAGCAAACAATTGATTCAATGAACAGAGTGGTCTTTGTGTGTTTGGCGAATTAAAAATTAGCCGAAAGTAGGCGTCTGTCGCGTGTGTCTGAATGGCCAATTGCAGGCCAGTTTGATTAAGTGATTGGAGGCTCAAATGGCTGTGTTTGCATTCGGGCATTTTCAGACCAGAATCGCGTCTTTGGCCGGATCTGAGCCGATCCAGTGATGTCACCATTCAGTGCGCTAAATTGCTCGCAATTCGCTCCTAATTGGATTAATTAGAGCATTTCGGTACAGCCAACAAACCGGCGGTTAATTGACATGTTAGAGCAACAAACCAGATTCGCTATCGGAACCCGCCAACCCATTGAACATAAACCAGAAGCACTTGTTTACCGCGTCCATGGCTGTCTGGTTAATGGCACCCCATAAGTGGGCGGGTGTCACAAACGAAATCCAGAAGCCACTTGGACCCTTTTGGAAGCTGGTGGCGTTCAAAAAAAATCGTTTGCATTTCATGTTCCCGATGAAAAACAGTCCGTTATTAATAGAACAATCCCGATGACAGTGGACATTTATCATTTGGCTTGTTATCCAGCATTGCCTAAAAATAACGATAAATAGCAACATTCCGTTAGTCAAGGGTCAGTTGTAAGATCGTGTTCAACTCGACCTTCCCACTTTATCGCAGCCCGTTCATGCTTGTGTTAGAAAGAATGCGAGCATCGCAGACATACAGGGTGGCTTTTTTCCTTAAACTATGTCATCGGATAAGATAAAGATAGTCAAAATAATGGCGCCGCCATTTGGATTCGCAGGCTGTTTACTGTTGCAACAACAGGCCCTTATAATGAGCTGTTTCGTGATTGTCAGCATTTAACGTGTGGGAAACAGTCGTTAATGCTTATTATTGTCAACATTTACATCTCTTGATACAGCGAGTCTGCAGGCAAATGCGACCAGCTTTTTCTCTACATTCATCATCTGTTTGAAAATTGCCACTATTTTCCTACTGTTGCTTTACTGGGTGAATTGAGTATTCAGTGTTTGATCCAGTGGTGTAGACATGAGCGCTTCAGTTCAATTAACTCATGATATATGAGCAAAAATATGGCCGCACTGATAGGAAAGTGGGTTTTGTAGCTCCACTTTTCCGGAGGTACGACGAAAAGTTTGCGTAATGTTTTCTCGGATTTCCAAATTTTGCCAAAATCGCATTAATATAGTCTTGAAATTTTTCGAAAAGTTCAACAAAAAACTGTGTATAGAGTATCGCCTTACAAAGAAAATCGGCGAAAGTGTTTGTTGCAACTGTGGTTGGAAAGTAAGAAACACTGTTGTCCACTCGAAGGGCTCCAATTTCAGCGCATTTTGTTGGTCAAAGTCTCCTCTATAAGCGACCAAAATTTCGAGTTTTAATCGGCATCAAGCAAATTTGAAACATTTTTCAAAGTTGCTTATGATTTTTGCGGCTTTTTAAACCTGTCCTAGTTCGACATTTATTTCCTCAAGAACGTTCACTGTGGGAAAATTCGTTTTAAATACATTTTCTAAGGCAGATTCGTTTCTATAAGTGAGCAAAGTTTCGAAGTTTCAGTCGTCATTAGGAAAATTTCAAAAATTTTTCAAAGTTGCGTATGATTTTTGCGGTTTTTTAAGCAAGTCGTAGTTCGACATTCATTTCCTCAAGAAAGTTCACTACGAAAAAAATAAGTTGCCATGCATTCTCTAAGGCAGATTCGTTTCTATAAGTGAACAAAGTTTCGAGTTTCAGTCGTCATTAGAATTTAAAAATTTTTTCAAAGTTGCGTTTGATTTTTGCGGCTTTTTAAGCAAGTAGTAGTTCGACATTTATTTCCTCAAGAACTTTCACGGCGCAAAAACATATTTTAAATATATTTTTTTTAAGGCAGCGTCTTGTGAGGCAGATTCCTTTCTATAAGCGAACAAAGTTTCGAGTTTCAGTCGTCATCAGGATAATTTCAATTTTTTTAAAATTTGCAAATGATTTTTGCGGCTTTTTAAGCAAGTTGTAGTTCGTCATTTATTTCCTCAAGATCTTTAGCGCCACAAAAATTAATTTTAAATGAATCTTGTGAGACAGATTCGTTTCTATTAGCGAGCAAAGTTTCGAGTTTCAGTCGTAATCAGGCAAATTTAAAATTTTTTTAAAGTTGCGTATGATTTTTGCGGCTTTTCAAGCAAGTCGTAGTTCGACATTTATTCCCTCTACAATTTTCATGGTCAAAAATCCATTTTTAATGCATTTTGTGAAGCAGGTTCGTTTCTATAAGCAAACAAAATTAGAGTTTCAGTCGTGATTAGGCAGAATGCAAAATTTTTTCAAAGTTGTATCTGGGTTTTGCCTCTTTTTAAGTATGTCATAGCTCGACATTTATTTCCTCAAGAACTTTCCCGGCGCAAAAATTTATTTTAAATGCATTTTCTAAGGCAGATTCGGTTCTATTAGCGAACAAAGTTTCGCGTTTCAGTCGTAATCAGGCAAATTTCAAAAATTTTCCAAACTTACGTGTGATTTTTGCGGCTTTTTTAGCAAGTCGTAGTTCGACATTTATTGTCTCAAGAACTTTCGCGCTGCAAAAATCCACTTTAAATGCATTTTTTTAACGCAGCTTCTTGTGAGATTCCTGATTCAGATTCCTTTCTATAAGCAAACAAAGTTTCGAGTATCAGTCATCATCAGGCAAATTTCAAAATTTTTTCAAATTTGCATTTGATTTTCGCGGTTTTGTAAGCAATTCGTAGTTCGATATTTATTTCCTCAAAAACTTTCCCGGTGTAAAAATCCATTTTAAATGCACTTTGTGAAGCAGATTCGTTTCTACAATTGAAGAAAGTTTCGAGTTTTAATCTTCATCAGGCAAAGTTCAAAAATTGTTCAAAGCTCCACTCGAAAATCATTGTTCGAGCCTGTTTCCTCAAGAACTTTCACAGCGCAAAAATCAAATTTAAATACATTTTTCACGGCAGCTTCTTGTGAGGCAGATTCCTTTCTATAAGTGAACAAAGTTTCGAGTTTCAGTCATCATCAGGCAATTTTTCATAATCTTCCAAAACTGCAGTTTCCAAAAAGCCCGAGTTTGCCGTTTATTTGTTCGGAAATCAGCAAATTGGGGAAGCAAAAAAACGCCTTTTAGTGCTCGGTTTGAAAGCGCTCCAGCTCAATCGATTCCCGAAAAATCGGCAAAAAGCTGGCGTGAAACATGCAATTATGACGCGATCTTGTCCCTGAATGTGGTGCGCTTCGTGTATAACTGTACTTATTTTCTAACTAAATTTTTGAGTTTGAAGTTGAGCCGACTTTGGAAAAACTTGAAATTTTCAGTGCATTTCATAAATGTGCTGTATTCAGTGGTCTAAAAAAGGCAAAAAAATCATTGGTGGGATTGTCCTCCCCCTCTTCTCCTGCATCCATACAATTTTAGGCGCATTCTTCGAGCGCCCTTTTCAACAGGCAACTTAAACTGTTCTACACCGTCCCTCTGTTCAGTGCTCAATGTTAGGGCCTCAATTTAAAAAAGTGTGTCTGGCCACGAGACAGATTGTTTAAAATTGTCAGGAAAAATATTCCTGTTTCAATTTTGTTCCTTCGAAAATAATTGAGTTGGAAAAAATGAATGATTTTTGCGCAAAGACGCATGCGACCACCCAAGTGTGATCCAACTGAAAAAAATGCCCACTTACTTGATCGATGTTGCATGCGGCGTCGCAGGCATAGTCGATGCGCCCGAGATCAGTGTGATTCTGCAAAAAAAAACGAAAATCTCGTAAATGTCCAGTAAACAATGTAGCAGATAAACATTCATTAATGGGCGATCATTGTTCTGACAAGGTTAACTCCCCATAAAACAACGCAAGCAGCAACATACAATAATAAACAACGCGAGCAGAAGGCGCGCTTTTGTTAAACATTATGTAAATGGGGCTTTTGTTGTCCACAAGCATGGAAATTCGGGCCCGTTTTGGGTGCCTTCCAGCTTCCAGACGTCGAGAGCGACTCGATAAGCGCGCAAGAGGTCATTAGGGCGCCCGATACCAAAAAAAGGTAATTAATTTTTAATCGGAGCCTCTAGTGTCACACAGTGTCGATTATCTGGCATTTGTTGTGTGAACTTTCAATTAACCTGCCGGAACAGTGGCGGTACTCAAGGGCCCAACATCCCATCGGACTCCACTGGCTGGCCGTCAATTAGGCCCCCAGTCCCACATAATTTAACATAACTAATTAAGTGGCTTGATTGGATTGGAATCAGTGGCTCGGCCGTTTTGGACACTTTTGAACGAACTCTTTTCCAAATTGCCGGATATTCGTAATTGACCGTTGCACATGATGCGGCGGAAGTCGGGTGGGTACCGGACTGTGAACCGATCAGGGCGTTACAGTCAGGTGCTTTTCGACGCCACTGCCCGGAAAAAACCTACTAACATCCTCGATCTCGAAAACAGCAACTAATCTGGCGTTTGGAATTATTTTGCGCAATCATCCAATTATACTCCGATTCAGTTAATTAGTTGCAAAGCTGTGTGTGTATGTCTAAACAAATCGCTTCTAAGGTTAGCCAAGTATCGACTTGCATTCCATTAACCACTTAAGTACCCACCTGAAGAGGACAGTGTTGGATGCATTGCTGTTCCACTCCACGCTCCACTCGGTCGTAGTCGATGGCTCCCAGGACAGGCCACACTAAACACATCAGCACGGCTTTGAGGACAGTCATGTTCCCGGGCTATGTCCAGGACATGATGCACTTAACCAGAAAACCTCCCAAAGAAATAAGGACGCGAACAATTCAAATTGGCGCGCACTAGTTAAAAACACACATTAGTTCGCGCGTATGGCTGTGAAAGGATTAAGCGCTTCTTTAAGCGGCGGCGGCGTCGCAGCTCAGCGAAGCCCCGCCCAGTGGCGGAGCTTCCACTACAACACCGAAGGGTGATCGTTTCCGGCAGTTAACAGTCGCTGGTTAAACTTGTTGAATAGTTTCCACCCCACTTGTCTTCAGGGCACTGTGCAACTTCAGGCCACTGTGCAATTGCCGTAAAAAAGCAAAAAATGCCTACAGGCAAAAATCGCGCTCTTCACTTCTAAGGGTCAGAGTCATATAGCGAAAGCAACTGCCACAATTTGACACTGGACGTGAAAAGCGAATTTTGGGGAGTACCGAAAATACTTCACAGTCAAGAACTCGCGCAAAAACACTCTGGACAATTTGTGAAACTCGCGGTTAATTGCTCAAAATGGGGCGCATTCTTCAAAGCATTGACGTTTTATTCGCCCGAATGTCAGGAGAGCTTGACGTTTAAAAGATGCAGCGCCCTCTGTCCTTCTTTTGCGACTAGCAACGAAACTGGAATTGAAAAGAAATGACGTATGAGAAGGTTGCGACGTTGCTACTTTATTTGTGTTCTGACTCGATGGTCAATTACGTTTCGATTTTTGGTCTCCATCAGGGAATTTGGGGGGGTATTTTAGCCTATAGCAATTTAGCTATAGCTGTTTTTAAATAAAAAAAAAATAAATGTGCGATATAATTTGGTGCGGCTCCAACAGTGGCATGTTTTTGGAAGAACCAGTGAAGATGGAGCTTCACTTTCCCGTGTATTTCGCAGCTGTGCGTATATGAAAAAATGTGTATGTGAAAAAATCTTCGATTTTGAGTCAAAATCAGGGAATTTTTGAGATTTTTATTTGCAAGGGCCAGAGCTTCACAATTATTGCCTCTAAAAAACAGTCCTTATTAGGACCGGGTAACACTGTGTTGAGTCGCGCTTTTGAGTTGTGGCCGCTCTCTGAGTTAATGAGTTTTAACTCACTGGTTAATGAGTTATAACTCATTGCCGATGGCGGAATTTTAGGATCTAACAAAAATTGACCTAAAAGTGAACAACACGAAATTTAAAGAAACCAAATTATTCACAGCCCCAAAAGTGACGAGTTTTCCGACTAATTGACTATAAACTTTCACTTGTTCTGTTCGGGGAAATATTTTTGGGAAAAAATTCAGAAAAAATGATTAGGGTTTTGTCCAAAATTCGAAACTGCAAAAGGTTCCAGAAAATAATTTACAGAGCGGTTCAGGAAACGCGTGTTCCAATTAAATTAAATTTATAATTTTCACAGAAATTACCTGAAGAGTGTCAGTATTTTAAGGAAAACTAGAAATTTTACGTTTTTTGCATAGAAAGAGTTGCTTAATAAAAACTTTGCTAAAACTGGAATGACTTGAAATTTTAAAGAAAATTGAAAAATGTTCAGAGCGATGAAGGTGGCGAATTTTCCAAGTAATTTTTTTGGAAACTTTTGCTCTCTGGCCGCTTTTTGAAGATAATCTTAATTACTTTCGGAGAAAAACTGAATAAAATTATTTGGTTTTTGGGCCAAATTCGAAGCTGAAAATAGGTTTCTAAAGTGCCCTGCAAATCGATGAATGAGGAGGATTTTCTAACAAAATTTATTTTGTAATTTTCAGCTGAAAAGACCCAATTATTGTCAGAAAAGAAGAAAATCATCAGAAAATAATGTTTTTCTGCATTTTTGATTAAAAACTTTTAGTTTTGTGATCAGTTTATGAGAAAATATTAATGATTTTCGGGCAAAAACGGGGGAAATTTATTTTCGTTTTCGTCCCGAATTCGACGCTGAAAAAAGTTTTTGTAAAATTCCTACAAATTTATCTAGCAATTTTTTGCGTAAAAGACCTCCAGATCGTCAGTATTTTTAAGTGAAACTCTACAAAATAGAGCGTTTTTGAGTGAAAATTAAAGCAAAAAAAAATTGAGTCAAAACTAAAAAACCACATTTTTTCACAAACTACAGTTTTCAGAGGAATGGAAGCGAAAAGTTTTCCAAATAATTTATTATAAACTTTCCCTTATTCAGATCGTTTTTTGATACAAAATTATTTGATTTTTGTCCCAAATTCGAAGCTGAAAAGGGTTTTCGAAACTTTTTACAAAGCGACGAAGAAGGCGAGTTTTCTAATAAAATCTATTTCATAATTTTTCAGAAATACCTGAATATTGTCGGTATTTTTAAGTAAATCTTAGAAAATTGAGCATTTAGAAAAAAGAGTAACTTTGCCAAAATTGGAAAATTCTCAAATTTTTAAGATATGTTAAAAATATTAATAATAAATGGCCCTTAAAATAAATCTAAAAGCAAGCAACGGAACTGAGCTACTGATACGGTGCGTTGTGTTGGCGCACCAATTTAAACGCGTTTAAATGCATTTAGACTCGATTCTTCGCCCGACCAATCACAAACAACCAAAGAGCCAACTCTACCCAGGTGGACCTCGACGTTGACAGGAGCGCGGCTCCTGAGAAGAGAGTGCGCTTTAACAGGCCGGGCTCTGTGCTCAAAACGATTGCGTGTGAGGGAGGAGCTGGAGGTGCCGTTTGCACGAAGTGAGGCCCCGGCCGCTGAGTCGCCTACTCCGGAATTTCTGGACACTGTGATCACGGAGCTGGACAGAGCAAAGTGGGCAGAGTGAGGCAAGGAAGGCATCGACCGTCTTGAGGAGCCTGGAGGAGGAGCCGCACCCGCCAGGGGGCAACAGCGAGCAAAAGCCCACCGGACACAGTTCGCAGGAGCACGAGTGGGCGCCGAAAGGCAAAAACGTGCTGATTAGGGCCGACATTGTGCATATTTACAACCATTTCTACAACGGCGTTTAGATCAGCCTTGACATTTTTCCTAGCCACATTAATAAACCAGATTCCTTTGCCGTTACAGTTTTTCGTCGTTGGTATTTAGTCCCAGATGGTCGCGTAATCTTCCTTGGCGCCTCAATGCCACTCGTCATTCGAACTGTAATTGCACGCGAAAGCCGCACTCTAATCTACATATAGGTGGATCCTGTATGGCAGATTGTTAAGTGGCAAAGCAAACCTTGACACTTCGGGTCTTCCTTCTTCTGCTTCAGTTTGGTAAATGCGCCAGTTCAATCGCATCCTCTTCAAGGCGACCGGGGCCAATAAATGTTACGAAAACGAAACTGGGGCAACCATGACATCCTCAGAATCAACTAGTCTGGCCTACAAAACGAAACCTCGCAGATAATGGATGTTTCCTGTAGATAATCCATCCAAACCCCCCATGGCAGTCACGAGAGTTATGAGGTGGTTACAGCAACCCGGAAATGGATTGCCAAACAATAGAATTGGCTTGTTTTTGTTCACGTAATGCACTGGAATTTTCGCATTTTTCTATACCGGCCATGTCAAAAGGTCAAGCAAACAAGCGAAAGAAATGTTATGAAATGGAATCTTACATCGACCGATTCAGGCCTGATGAGAGTGATGAGCTCGCCTCCTGATTGATTAATTAGCGGGGCGAATGAGAAATTTTGATTTGATTGATTGATAAATGTGCTCACCCTATACAGGATGGGGTTTTTCGATGACTAGTGCAGGGAAGTTCGGAACGAGAGCAGTGACGAAGAAGGTTAAATGGACAAAGAATTGGAAAAGAAAAACTAATTTTTGGTAAATTTTTAAATTTCCCCTAATTCCGTTGATATTAATTTGACATTAAACCTTGTAGGAAATTGAATTCCAAACAAAATTGCATGAGATATTTCTCCGAAATAACTGTCAATTTTGACATATGATACAAATTTGAGTTTTTTTTAATCGCAACCATACTTGATTAGTGATTTGCCGAATAGAGCATTTTATTACGATTTCTGTGATTTATCATATCGTTGGGTTTTTTCGAAAATAAAGTGTCTGCGAACAATTTATACTTTTTCAATTTAGTCGATCGTAGTTAGCCATGGAAAATAGTATAAGACATACAGCATTGTTTCCATAGCAACAAATAATGACAGATGCTTCAATATTTATTTTGACAACTACGTTAAAGTTGGCAATAACTTTATTTTAATTAAGCCGGCTGCTCATTTAAAGTGTTTATTATAAAAATCCAATCATGCCAATAATAATTAAAATTTAACTATAGAAACTTTAATTTTTATTGTAAAACATTTTTAAAAAGTCCACCATTATTATAAATGCAAACATTGCAACGCTTTAAAACTTAATAAGTTGCTTTTCTTGCGGAGCGACCATCAATATTTTCAAAGGCTGTATAACAGCTTCTTAAGTGCATTTAAATTCGAATATTTGTTTTTGTAAACTGTGTTTTTACGGCTCCCCACAAAAAGAAATCCAAAGGTGAAAGATCCGGTGATCGAGGTGGCCCTAAAATAGGGCATTTTCGTCCAATCTAAGCCCCAGGAAACGTTACGTCTTAAATAAAACTTTAGCACATTCTTCATAAATAATTAATACGTTTAAATAATCTGCTTTGTTATAATTTAAGCGTCTGGCACGATTATTAATTATTTTCAAAAGTTTTATTTTATTATTATTATTATTATTTTCAACTGACAGCTGTCAACATTTTTTTTGCATTTAATTGTATTAAAAATTGCCACTTTTTGTAACATAGAAATACATTAAATTGACAATATTTCGAAAACTTAACAATTTTGAAATAGACAACTTTACACACACTTACCCCTATTTTTAATATTGAATAAGATAAAGTTATCAAAAATGGGGGTTTCCATTTGAAAAAATTGATTTAGGGCGATGTTGTCAACGCCTTTTTGCAACTTATTTTTTAACACTTTGTATTAATAGTTATCAAAATGTTGTCGAAATCCCATTAAAGTAACTCCTTTTCAGCAACAAATGTTGCTCTAATTAAGTATGACAAATTATCTTATAGCAAAAATGAATAATTATTCGAGTGGCTGCAACCGTCATTTTTTACATAAAATTCCAAATACCGTTGAGTCCGGATATAACGAACTTGAAAAATGAACTAAAACTGGTTCGTTACATCCCGGGGTTCGCTATAAGCGAATAATAATATAAAAACACGTGGTGTATTTTATTTCGCTATTTTTACATTGATTAGTAGAAGTTAGTCGGTATAACTAAAAAGAACACAAAAAGATAAACAGAACACAATTTGAAATCTACTTCACAAAGTCTGTAATTTTTCTTTGTACATTTCTGCTGCAAAAATAGATGTTATTTATGTAGTTTT